AAAAAAATTTAAATTTTTTAACTTTGCAAAAAACTGTTAATGTGCTTTTATTCCGAAAGAGAACGCCATTGTTCCGTTTAAATAGGCACACATTCGATTTTTCTGATCGTTTTGATCCTATAACCGGCAAACATACTTTTTAATCACTTGATTAAAAATTAAACGCTTTAGCACTGCTTTTCTTGAGTGGTTGATTGATATTTATTAGCGATTGATAACAGAGAGCACATGCCACGATTGCTTTAATTTATTTTAAACTGTGAGTACATTAGTTAACCATTTTAGTTGAGTTTATGTGCCCAATATTGTCTTTCTTCCCTAAAAAATTTAATTTAAAAATGATTCAAAAAACGTGTTTAAATTTACTTTTTTTGTGCCTGGTGTTCAACAGTGCATGGGCACAAAATCACTACAACCAGCAAAATCAACACAATACCCACCAGCAAACAAACAATGACCAGCAAAACCCAAACGACGATTTTTTAGCTCATCAGAATATGGAGTAGGTTTACCATTTGTGCAAAGCTTGCTGAACATCAACTTTTATTTTTTTCAGTCATTTGAAACACGATGTAAAGGATCAATATTATGTTGATATTGATGACAAGACAAACTCGAAAGAGTTGGATTATTACAACTTTAAACTACACGACTACGATAACAATATGCTACTGGACGGGCTAGAGCTGTTGATGGCTTTGAATCACGATCACGATGCACACAACACAGAGAACAAAGCAGCCACTACTGCTGAACCGACTGATGGCCAGAGACAGCACCAACAGCAGGGAAAGTTTGACCAGGATGCTCGTAAGTCAACTGCACAACAAACCTTTACAAACATTTAAATTCTGTCAATTTTAATTTACAGTTTTGGTCGATCATATTCTAACCGTTTACGATACTGACAAGGATGGATACATCAGTTTCTACGAGTACATGACTGTTAAAGAACATAACAAGTGAAATTAGACTGAACAAATGAAAGTGTATTTTAATGAACCGCAACGGCATGTTAGCAAATAATAAAAGATAGACGTGTACAAGCAGTGGATGCAACTTTTACTACTTGGTCGGCATGGAGATGACTGTGACTTGAGGTGCCGTTGGTGATATCAGTCGTGTATTGATGCCACGTGTGATTACGACCACTGCTGCCTAAGATGCTGCAAAAAGACAACAGATATAATCGACATCATCAATAGCAATAATTGACAAAATCAAAATGAAGAAGAATATTGGAGTGCTGTGCTTTTGCCTACTGTTAGCCAGTGTTTACGGACACCAGAATCATGTGAACAATCACCAGCAGCAGCAGCAACCCTCACAACCAAATGCTCACCAGCAACCCGATTTGAAGAAACAGCACAACAACTTTTTTGAAAAACAAGACATTGAGTGAATAATCAGTTTATGTTTATCTGAGAATATTTTGACTAACTAAACTGTTTGTACATTACCCAGACACATTAAGCACGACCTAAAGGACCAGTACCACGTGGAGGTAGATGAAAAAACAAATTCAAAGGAAATGGAATATTACAATTTTAAACTTCACGATTATGATAATAATGGGTATCTTGATGGACTAGAGTTACTTGTCGCCCTTAATCACAACGCCGATCATGTGCCGGAAAAATCGGAGGTAGGTGCACAGTGTAAAATGTAATAGACTGCAAATCAAATTGCTGCGCTAACGGTTCGGTTAAATTGCATCATTCTCTCCTGCCATTGTGCTTCTTTATTTTCACTGAATTGTTTCCGTTACAGACTGCACCACCAGAACCGTCTGCACAACAGCGCGACACAAAACATCAAGAACAGTCACAGTCCAAATTTGAGAGTGATGCTTGTGAGTGAAGCACTCTTGAACTTAAACTGATAACTAAAAACTGTCTTTTTGCAGTGGTTATTGACCAGGTTCTTAAAGACTACGACAGCAATCACGATGGTCTAATTTCATACTACGAGTACATGCAAGTTAAGGAAAAGTATATGTGAGAAAGGCGGCACTATGTTCAGCAAAAATTGCTAATGGATGACAAATTAATAAAACTTTTATAAAAAAAATTGTTAGTTTATTTTTTGTTTTTTGCACAGTCGGAGACTGAGAAACGGCAGCTCACATCAGCTGCTCTTCGTTCCTCCGTCAGAACCAAAGCCTGGCACTTGCAGTGCACTGTCAACAGACTGAAAAACGACGATTTGGGAAAATAGATTTGCACAAGTTGAAAGTGAGGCTGACACTTTGGCCAGCCAGCATCACTTGTACAAGGCAGCACTCAGTGGAGCGTTCACTCGCAACGATGGCTGATGCTACTGTGATGCGACTGCATCTTCTGCCTGTGCCGCCTTGGCGGTTCAGACGCTACCAAAGTCGACTCGGCTCCCGCGCCACTTTTCACTCGTCGGCTAGGCTTCTGCCAAATTGAAGCTACGCTGCGTGGCAAATGAGCACTGCCGACAAAGAGAGAGAAAGAGAGGAAAGATGGAAAGCTCCACGAGAATCCCCAATGAATTTGAATGAGTTGCCATCCTGTAGACGGTAGTGGCGCGTCTGCCAGTGCCTGAGTTGTAGAATGAAATTAGCAAATTAAGGCTCACACAGACAAGTGCTGGAACGCATAGAGGAACACACAACTGCAAGCCTTCACAATGGCCATTGTGTCAAGTCAAAGTATTACTCTGGTGGTGCATGTGCTGGCTGGCTGGCTGGCTGACTGACTGATGACTTCTCTCCTCGTCGGCACTGGCCAACTGCATCATCGTTCTTGGCCCTCGATTATGCTAACAAGCACGTCGCTATCTACTCGTCTCTGGCCACTCGTTAGGCAACCCAAACTGAGGCACTTGTGTGCTCCGGTGCATGCTTTGCCAATTACCACTTCAACACAGAAAAATGCTACTCGATTCAGACTCAATTGCCCGTGAATCGGTTGAAAAAGCTCGAGCTTGCCTTTGCTTTCAGGTATCGAGAAAGCACATAAAATTTAACCAGAAAATCCGGCAGCTTCTTTGACAGAATATTTTGCAAAAAATAGTGAAATCATCGATCTGACCCGAGCTGATTGAGCGGGCAATTGGAATTTGACAATTACCGGACGTCCACTGTCAGTTCTAGCAACTGGCACTCTATTTGCTAGTTAATTCAATTGTAACGCTGTGCACAAGTTGTAAAGTCTGATGGCAATTGGAGCTGGCAGATTGATTGGTGACCAACTAAAGTCCGAGTTAAGACAATGAAGCTATTATTCTTTGGCAGCAATTAGACTTCCAGTGCCCAGTGACGACAGAACAAAATCGATGAACACTTTTATATAAAGGAGTTTTTGCCTGTTCTTTACTTTTAATCAAGTTACTAAACAAAAATATGTCTCTGGTTTGTCTCCGGCAGTAGTGTCCAAGTGAATGTCACATCAAAAAGGTGTCGATCGATTGAGGACAGCAATGACAAACATCTCTATTGGCAGCATTGGGAACAATTGCCTAGACTCTTGTGGCAAAACTGCGACAGAAAGGCCGACTTGTAGATGAAAGGAAAGTCTCTTGTGGTGAGGGCGAGTAGTGCACGTGCAAAATCAGCTCCGGTTACATTGGGCTCGAGTGTCACCAGGGTGTCTGCTGTGAGGGTGCAGTGTACAATGCAAAGCAGTGCAGTGCACAGGTGGCACAGTTCGATGCCTGCTGGGCCTTTAATGGAGGACACGCGAACGCGACATCGGCCACGCGTACTCAGTCGTAGTGCTGCAAGTGATGCAAAGAGGATGCTGTCCACACTTCTCATCAAGTGCATGCCCACACCGACACACACAAGTGTGCCGGCATTGTCTTTTGATAGATGACAGATTGAAACGGCAAAAGACATTCAATTCAATCTATTTGTTTTGATGTTTACATGTTGAACACTTTGCTAAAGAAGTATGCAGTTTTAAAAATAAATAAAAACTATCTGATATTGAAAAGTAAGAACTTTGTGCCTAGTTTTGCTTTCTTTGGTTTGAAACAAGTTTTCATCGTCTTTGACCCTATATCTGGGTCTCTAATGGTTAGAGTGCCCGCAAATTAGCAGCCATTGCCATTCAGGGCAATGGCAAAAGTGAACCGTCGCTTAAATGCGCTTAATGGACTTTAATCTACATGCAAAGAGCGCCTGACTGGATGCTTCACCTACCGACAACTATGCTCCAAATGGACCGCCTGTGACTTCTTCCGACTCTTCTTTTTCCTCTTCTGTTTATTCTTTTTCTACTAATGTCTTCATCTTTCTCTCTTTCTCCCTCCCTTTCAGTTTGACTTGGAATCGGTGCCATTTAGGCGTTTGTGGCTGTGCAGCGAATGATCAAGTCTCGCCGATCGAGCAGACTGCTTAGCGTGCCTAATGCAGTGGGCGAGTGAACGCGTCTCAGCAGGACTAGCGGCAGCATCAAGCAATAAAGATGCCTGCCTGCCTCACTGCCTGCAAGCCAGGGAAGCAAGGCAAAAGTAGCGAGTGGTAATCCACTTATCGAACAAATTGCTCCGTGCTTTGCTGCAGCGTGTGGAACGTGAGCCAGACGAGCCGTACGGCAATGGACTTTTCGGCACAAGGAAAGAGAAGAAGAAAGAGAGAGAGATATCCTTCCGTCGGGCACTGTTAGCTGAGGCGCATCACCACCACCACCACCACCATCATCATCATCTGCTGTTGGTACTGCTGCTGGATCGTCATCAGTGGGGGCGGTTTGCCGTCTTCTGAAGCCGGCCCATGGGTAGTGCTCAGCGAGTGCGTCTGCCAGTGAGCGCCCGTCCACTGCCTGCCACCGATTGGCTGTCCGCGGTGTTCTGCACCGTGGAGGAGCACTGCGGCCAGTAGTCCCGGTCTGAGAGAGCACATTGTGCTGGAGTGCACAGCCGACTGCGAGCAGTGTTGTCTGGTAATAGGCTTAATTCAGCTGGTGCGTCTGCCAACACGGCATTACCGTCATTAGCGATTCATCTAATCACCGCTCGAGACAGCGCCGAGCCCGAACTAGCAAGCAGCAGCAGCCATCGTACACAGCGCACGGCATTGTCATCAAATTTCATCTCCGTCGGTTCAGTACCGAGAGCAGCACTGTGAAGCATTAATCAAATTTGGACAATTATCAATTCAATTTCATTTCATTTCATTTCATTTTTAAGTTAAATTAATTAATCACAGCCAAGCAAAGTCGACAAGTGCTTCCAGCCAGGAACTGCCGTCTGCCAAGCGATTGAGTGGCCAATTTGCCCAATCTGTTTGCTCCTGTTTGCAAGTGATTCCACGTGAGCCAAGCCACTTCGAGGCCGGTAACTGTAAATTTGACCAGACACCGCCTGCCTCTTTCCCTTAAAAAAGATCTCGCTGATGGGCGAAGGAAGCCACGTTGATACACAGCACGCCACCTCACACCACATGTCCTCTTCAGTGCACCGTTCAATGTCAGAGAAGCGAAAGTCATCGACATCGTGTAGTGTCGCCTCTTCGAGTTCTCTTGCCAGTGAAAACGACTTTGCAGCAACTCTGTACGGCGTAGCACTGAATGGCCATCATGAGCATAATCATCGCTCGATAATCACCTCAGAATCACATTCAGGTATGATTACAGTTTTTATAGTTTATGACTTAATTTAGTAAACTTAATAATAATAACACTGGGTCCAAGTGTTGCGGCAAACAACAGGCTAATTATATTTGGCACTCTGTACTTTGAGGTAGTATGCAAATTAGGTCGCGTGCGAGTAATTTTATTGTGATTGAGTTTGCAAAGAGAATAAAAGGATAAAACAAACGATCTGTTGATGTAGTTTTAAAAATCAATGACTTATTGAAAATGCTTTTGTAGAAAAACAAACTCTTTTCTTGATTTTAAGAAACTAACTGTAATCAAATACAAAATTGAATTTTGGTCACAAAATAAATGAAAAAGCAACTTACTTTAAAACAAAAATATATATTTACGATTGGTTATAACAAGTTTAATATGGTCAAAAATTGCAATCAAGTTTATGAGATCAAAGCTTTTACAAACAAAGTATCGTCATTTTTAGCCAAACATTTCAGTTCAATCATAGAACAATTTTTCAATTGAAAGTAAATTTTAAAAATTGATTTGTTTTCATTTTAAAACAAAGTTGTTTTGAAAATGATCATATGTTGCCCATAGGATTGCATGAAAAGTTATAAAACCTTTCCATTCACCTAAACTCATAAATTATTTATCTCTTTATCAATTGTTTATCTTTCAAATAAAATAGCAAAATAGTATTTACAATAGCTAAAGTTAATACCGTGACATTGAATGTTGTTATACCACTTTAAGTAGATAGATGCCAAGTGGAATTAATATCAAAGGCACAGTCAACTGACACAACAATTGAGATGATGCTCTCAAACTCAGTTCAGCTTACTAATGCAGTACATCAATGACTGTTGAAAGGTGTCTAGGGCTGAATGTGCAGAGGAGTACATTTGCATTTGCAATTAAAGGCCTAATGATAGAAACGTCATCGCTGATGTACTGATGTACTGAGCACACTTGTGCTCAACACCGCAATGAGTGGGCCTGACAGAGAGTGCCAGAGTACAATGGTCGACAGTGGTTGACAATGAGGCGAGAAGGCTGCAAATCACTGACCCAGCCGGGACCTGGTGCTGAATTGTACTGAAAGATAACACCAAAGAGCAGGTGTGAGCAGTGCATTGCCACTGGCGGCTACTTTGTGCGGCAGAGGATGCAGGAGAGAAGGAGAGCAAGAGCGAATATAAAGCCACGCCGCGGTAGCCGACAAAGCCGAGCAGCACGTCTTCTCGTCACCAGCGACCCTAGTTAGCGACAGAGAGGGAGAGAGAGAGAGGGGGCATTGAAAGGCTCGCGGCGGGCGATCAAATGGTGAATGGCAAAGAGGCTCATTGGAAGTGGAGCACTGAGCAGAGCGCATCAGCACCAGCAGCATCAGCACCATCACAGTGAGCACAGTGGCGGAACTGTAGCGCTCCGATGACTTTGCTGCTAATGCACTCGAGTTGAGACAAATTGAACACAGTGTGTGCACTCTGAGCACTGCACTTGTAAGTGCATGTAATTAAGAGACACATGGGTGCTCCAGCGGTCGGTCACCAATCAGGCACTCCGCTGCACAAGTGCACTCCACTGATGTCTCCACTGGTGGAAGGTGCCAGGGAAGATCGCCTGGCACTGTCTGCCACTGACGGCAGACACAACCTGACCGGCGGTGGCAGTGTGCCCGACTGCCTGTCCGACCACTCCGTAGTGTCCTGTTGTACACCCACAACTGACCGATTGCCTTTTGCTTGCCCTTTTCTTCACCTGCAGTACTGAACAACTCAACCGAAACTGCCTTCAAGAAGCTGAAAGTAGAGCCCGGACTGACGCACCTCGGCGGTCCGCCGTCACTGATGGCCGGTCTCGCGGGACCCAACCTCACCGGTGGACCGACATCGCTCTCGGGCTCAGGAGTGAACGCCTGCCCGCCGACGCCTGCACGCAGAAGACACCGCACTACCTTCACTCAGGAGCAACTTCAGGAGCTGGAGGCAGCCTTCGCCAAAAGTCACTACCCGGACATTTACTGTCGCGAGGAGCTAGCACGTATCACCAAGCTCAATGAAGCCCGAATTCAAGTAAGTTGAAGTCTCCAAGAAAGGAGCACACACACACACCAACACACCAACACACCAACACGGCCAGTGCCCCCGTCTTTGCCAGACATCCGTCGATTCAGACATTAATTCTCCACTCTTTGCTCTCTCTCTCCCTGCCTTTATAGGTCTGGTTCCAGAATCGGCGGGCAAAGTACCGCAAGCAGGAGAAGCAACTGCAGAAGGCGCTCAGCAACTCGTCAATGTTGCCCGCCTGTAATGGCGCCACGATGATGCGCAACATCTACCAGGCCTCGGCGGCGCAGGCCAACGCCTCGCGCAACTACTCGGGCTACTCGACCAGCGGCTCAATCAACTCGATGAACGCGGCGGCGGCCACTGCGGCCCGCTACCCGCCCATGAGCGCCGCCGCCGCCTACCCGCCCATGGGGGGACAGCCCTTCGGCATGTCCGCTCACTCCGCAGGACACATGGGCGGCATGGGCCGTCAGGAGCCCACTGACGCCGAGACCGACTGGTACAACAAGGGCTTCAATGCCTTGCGAATGAACCACAGTGCGCCGCACAACCACGCCAATCTGGCGGCGCCCATGCTCCAGTACCAGACATAGTAATGCTTTCCAGGTTTCCCCAATGGTCCTGACGACAGACAGCAAAGATGGTGCCTATCAAGAGAGTGCACCACCAGCCGCCATCGTCCAACCAGCCAACCAACACTAGTCCCAATGCAAACGCTATTTTTCAAAGTTTGATCTCTTTNTCAGCCGCCATCGTCCAGCCAGCCAATACACCCACCAACACCAACACTAGTCACAATGCAAACGCTATTTTTCAAAGTTTGATCTCTTTTTGTACAAAACAAANCCAGCCGCCATCGTCCAACCAGCCAACCAACACCCCCACCAACACTAGTCCCAATGCAAACGCTATTTTTCAAAGTTTGATCTCTTTTTGTACAAAACAAAGCGACCTCACCTACAAACACCAGATCTCCTTTTCGTGGATCACCCAACCTTCTGTTTATATGTCAACAAAATGTCTTATTTCTACTGTCTTGTCTATTCTATGCTAGTCAAACACATCTTTTCGCTTATCTGTGCAAAACTCTCTGTCAATACTCTGTTTACACCAGTGCTACAATATTCCCCGCCGGTCAACTAAGGTACACCAATTAACGTTGTACATATTCTCTACTTTGTCTGAAAACTTGTCCAGAATCTTATAGCTTTACTTAATTTTTTTTGAAAAACCATATTTGAAATAAAAACATGCAACCTTTTTTGGTTAGTACATTTGTGTTGTGTGTTGGTTTGTTTGGTATTTCTACAAAATAAATAAAATGTTGTAATAAAATACTACGAAAAATAACGACTAGAATTAGTAAACACCAACTGTATTGTAATGTTGAAAAAGATGACTAGTAATGCTGAAAAAGTTTGTAATTGTCGCCCCTAACAATGCACCTAAACAAGATGCTACTGGATAGTGAGCTACATGTATTGTATCATCAAGACGGTAACTAAATCCAGCAAACCACGAGAAAAATAGAACGAAAATGATATTCGTTAGCATAAAGTTGTCAATTGAAAGAAAGGCTTTTGAAGAGCTTTGGGGATGCACAAAAAGTAGTCGAGAAAACGAGTGGTTTGAATGAGGACCAATTGTGAGCGCAGAAAGTATGAAAGCGTGGTAAATGACAAACTTCAATCTAAACAAAAACAAATAAAATTAATATTACGTTGCATATTTTCAGCTTTTGGTATTAAAAATAGTTACGGAATCGTGTGAATGTGAATTGCTGAGATGTAGATTAGTCCGATAAAGATTGGCACAGAAATTAAAACGTCAAGAAAAACGAGAAGCAAGTTTTGTACAATTTGTGGAACATCCTAATAAAAAGAATAGTTAAAAATTATTTTTAAACACAAACTAACTTAATTTCTTACCGATGTTTCAGAGAGATTCTTTACAAGTAGCGGATTCAAGGAAAGGAAAATTGCGACATGAAGCAAATGAGCAGGATGCAGATCTTTATGATACCAATACAGCGATGCTAGTAGAGTGCAAAGTAACGAACACAGATTGCAAAAGATTAGACTAGTCATGATTGTGGAGATCAACAAAAGATAACTTTGCAGTTTCTGACACAATCTTCAGCTGAGTAACAGCAAATGATTGTTTTGAATCAGACTGACCGACGGTGGCGCCACCGCAGCTTTGTTTACGTTTCTGCGTTGTTTTGCACGCAGCGGTGCAGCTTCTTCTCCCGAATCCTGTGCCACACTGTGCATCATTTTTTCATCATCTTTTCATCATCTGGAGCAGCTCATCATGCTCTAGTAGTTGACCCGAAACCTAGCAATGGATGCAGTGAGCAATAGTCTATTTGAGCCGCCCCCACAGCTTCGTCCGTTTGATGCTCCTGGAAATGATGAATCAACGTACTTGCTAACTCAAAACGATCTCATTCAGGCTACTTCGCCATCAGCTCGTCGATCTGCAAAGGATCCCACTGCTTTTGTTGTCGACCAATACACGCCAGTGTACAAGGCCAAAAGTGATGCATTTGAAGTTTTTCCTCGTGTCGAGCGGTTTATAAATGCTGAAAGCTCTTTCAAGTGCCCGGTTTGCTCAAAGAAAAAGGCCAATTTTTTCTGTCCTAGCTGTGTAAGGAATGGGAACTTTACGCACTCAAAAGCCAATTTTTTTGAACGTTTTGCGGACAAAAAACTCCAGTTTATTCATTTAAAAGAACAGCAAATCCAGACTTCAAATAAAGTTAAGAAGCATTTCACAAACTTGGNAAGCCAATTTTTTCTGTCCTAGCTGTGTAAGGAATGGGAACTTTACGCACTCAAAAACCAATTTTTTTGAACGTTTTGCGGACAAAAAACTCCAGTTTATTCATTTAAAAGAACAGCAAATCCAGACTTCAAATAAAGTTAAGAAGCATTTCACAAACTTGGCTTTAAAAGATGAATTGGTAAGAAAACACTTTTTATTTGTTACTGTTTACAAAAACTTAATTGTGATTTTTAGAAACTGCAAGTTCAGAAGGTTGATCAAAACTTAAAAACTCTCAGGAAGATAATAAATGAAAAGAAGAACTATTTAAAGGAAATTCAAGGAGAGTTAAACGATACAAAACGTAATGTCATTTCCTGTCAGGGAAAGCATTTACATTTAAAGAGTCGCATTCACAACATCAAAAACATTATTGCCAAGCAAAATGTTGCTATCAACGAGCAGCAAGGAAGTAAAGCATCAGAAGACAATCGAATTCAAATTCTAATTCGCGAGAAGCTGTTAACCCTTACCACGTACATTTACCAGTTCAGCGTTGAAGACGCCAATAATCTTGATGATTCAATGGAAAGGTATGACATGTCAATGTCAGGTTCTGAATCAGCGCCGCTATTGAACAATTCAAGCGAAAGTAGCCCAGGAACTCCTCTGATAAGCAGAGAAGTAAATTTCTTGCCAGTTATTCGTTATCGCCTCATTGACGCATGGATTACTTCAAATGAAAACTTTAATCTTTTCTGTGAGTGGTACCTTTTAATACTTTTTTGTTACTAAAAATTTGTTTACTTTTCTAGTAGTAGCCACTCAATTGAATCGAGTTGAGTATGTCGAGCTTCGCGAAAACAACTTCCGCAATGATGAATATCGTCTTACTACAGTGCTCTCTTACCTATGTCATCTTACTAATCTAATCGCCATTTTTTGTGATGTCCATCTTCCTAAACGACTTCTCTTCAGTGAGTTTTACTTTAGAGAATTCAAGAGAGAAGACTTTCTTTCAAAGATTGCCAAACTGAACACGAACATACTCTTCCTCTGCATCTACCATCACATTGATCCGTCACTGCTTCAGCCCAAACAAGCCTTCAAAAATTTAATGCTTGTGCTTAACTGTCAAAATTTTATTGGGGTTTTGTAAGACAATAAAGTACCTGGTGTACTAAGTTCACTTTTCGATAACGCATGTTTGTTTTTCTTTCAATAGAGACAATTTTGTCGATATTTCCAATGCATTTTACAAAACGATTCAAGACCAGCTGATGGCTGATCTCTGTCTAACGGAAAAGGAAGACTACGAAGCATCAGTGGAGCACGCCGATGAACATGACTACGACTTTGTTGACCAGAGCAATATTCCTGACTTGGATTTCAGCGAGTTCTCCTCCAATGATCAGGTTTGCTCTGCTGAAGTGTGCTTTGGGTCTGATTTCCTCACTAACACTTTCCCTTCCTTTCAGACTACATCGACTAGCGCTAACTTGCTGGCCCTTGTTTCCTCGATCTGGTCAGACGGACGAAGCATTTTTAAGAAATGATTTTATCTGCACCATCACTCATCAGTTTTTAATTGTATTTGTCTGGACGTTTTTAATCGAATTATATTGTTTTTAACAAAAAATCGAATTAACTTCTGGAACTCTAACAACCACTGTCCACTGGTTAAAACATTAGGTGGCCGTACAGTTTGCTTTCATTTTCGCTCATACTCTCCCCGCCTGCTACCAATCCGCTGTTGTCATTTTTCTATCAATGGATACCGTCACTCCGCCAGTGAACCACGGGACACAGAGCTACAGCGAAGCGTCGCGAGCTCTTCTCAGCAAGTACCGCCCTCCGAAGAGCGCCGCCAGCTCTGCCAATCTGAAGCGCGTCATTGAGAAGCACCTGGAGAAGACCAAAATCAGCCTGGACAAGTTCCTCGACTTTGGGCCGAACTCTGAGCTGTACCTGTGCACGCAGAACAGCACCGGAAAGCAGCTGGTGCTGAAGGTGCTGGTGAAGGGCACCGTGGAGCAGGTGGGAGGGACGGTGATGAAGCGACCGCTCGACTACGACAAGCTCAACCCGGAGGGCTCCGTGGCAGGCATCGCCTGGGTGCACGAGTTCACCTCCATGGACAGCACCGCCTACAGCATCGTCACCGAGTACTGCCCCAAGGGCAGCGTCGCCAAGCTGCTCGAGTCGAATGGGGCGCTGCAGGAGAACGACGCCCGCGGCATCTTCTCCAGCGCCCTCGCCGGCCTGGCGCACATGCACAAGAACAAGGTCGCCCATCGCAATTTGAAGCTGGAGAACGTGCTGCTGGACGGGCACAACCGCGCCGTCCTCACCGACTTCAACTACAGTCTGATTGTGGAGAACAGCGCCAGTCTGGAGGCGGTACACGCCACCTCGGTGCCGTACCTCGCCCCGGAGGTCTTCTCCAACGTCCCCTACGACCCCATCATCGCGGACGTCTGGAGTCTGGGCATCTGCATGTACATCGCCCTCAATGACTGTCTGCCCTTTGGGCCGGCCGGGAAGCCGCTCGTCGGCTCGGAGAGCTTCTACACCTTCAAGAAGACGGTCGAGGCGGCTCTCAGCGCCGCCGCCAAGAAGTTCCTCAAGTTGATGCTGCAGAGCGACGTCAACAAGCGCGCCACCTCGTTCACCCTGCAGCGTGATGCCTGGTTCTACCAATAATGTTCACAAACTCCACAGTTTGACATGGCACTTCTCTCACACCTTTCATTTGCGCTATGCTATTCAAAAATAATACTTGAACATTTACATTTACCAGAGTGCAAGACTGCTTTATTCGGCAAAGCTACAGGCCAGGATTCCAGCACNCTGATGCTGCAGAGCGACGTCAACAAGCGCGCCACCTCGTTCACCCTGCAGCGTGATGCCTGGTTCTACCAATAATGTTCAAAAAATTGCACAGTTTGACATGGCACTTCTCTCACACCTTTCATTTGCGCTATGCTATTCAAAAATAAAACTTGAACATTTACATTTACCCGAGTGCAAGACTGCTTTATTCGGCAAAGCTACAGGCCAGGATTCCAGCACGAAGACCAGTCCGTCACTCGCTGGCTGGCCTTGTACTGTTCACTGGTGATCGAGCGCATCAACAGCAGATCGGAAGTGGCAAAGATTGAGGCGCCCAGCCAGTTTCCGTAGTTTTCCTTACAGGGTAGCTTGTGAAACTTGAAGTCGCCCGCAAAAGAAAGCTGCTTATAGCGTTCACTGTTGGTGGTCAGGTGCTTGATCTCCTGAAAGAGACGATGCTTGAAGCCAGGCAACATGACAGTGCCGCCAACGAGAACAATGTTGGATGCTAGCTGCCGTCGGCAGTCAACGGGACAGCTGAGAATGGCGTCAATCACCAGTGTCGGCAGGGTGTGCTCTTCCCCGTACATCTCAAAGAGTACTTCACACACTGACTCACGCAGAGAGCCTGGTATTTTCAGAAGTTTGTTGCCCTCGACTGGGAATCGCACCGCTGGTGGAGGACGAGTGATGGAACACTCTACCGGGGGTTGCTTTTGACTTTTAGCTTCGTCGCTCAACTTTTGATACACTAGGTGAGACCCTCGTTCAATAGTGGTAACAAAGCAGGTTTTTATCTTTATGTCTTCAAGAATAGTTTCGCTGAGTGAATCGCCCACGGGACTTTCTTGACCATTTTCCATGATGATGGCATTTCGTTGAATAAGCTCGTCGTTTATTCGGTAGTGAATAGATTTTGAGCCTAGAGGAGCAAATTTTACCAGATCAAGTAGTGTGACTGATTCAACAATTGGAATGGCTGTAGCCTCTTTGTAGCCAACGTCTAACACCAGGCCTGTGTTGATGCCCAAAGTGGCCAGAACCATGACATGATTCGGAACCAGCAGGAGACTTTGAACCTTAAAAAACAAAGCACGTTTTAGTAACATTTTCTTTTTACAAAACCCAAACTTACATCTAAATGACGAAACAGTACGTCAACTAGCTTCTGACGAAAAAGGTTTGAAGTGAAAATTGATTCGACAATAACGACACGCCTGTCTTTCGGATTGACGGCTAAATACTTGAAATATATTTTTTGTAAAAATTCTTTCAGCGCAATCGTCAGGACTTTTTCATCTTGCAACTCGACAATGTCAACTGTCTGTAAATAAAAAATGTGTTAGTTTTTTGTAAAATAAAAGTAAAAACAACTTACTTTGTCAAACGTCGGCAGGTAGATTTGGCTGGGCAAGATCGCACGGGGCGACAGTTCAGAAGCAAAACCGCACCTGGAGCAGACATAAAAACAAAACAAAAATCATTGAAAAGGAAAACTGTACTAAATACAAACTTACTTCGTGAAAGCAGACCCAATTTCTAGGACGACAGAATTCTTATCAGATCCGATTCCTTCGTAGATGGGCATTTTCAAAGCAAAGATACATCAACTGAAAGTGATCAAAACAATGAGAAGCTATTTCGTTTTGCCGTGCAGCTGTCACCCATTTTGACCCATTCGTCTGCCTTCTTTCTGCATTTGTTCACATTTCAAAAAATCGCGACTAAAACATTTCACTTTTACCTGTTTGACAAAATTACCATTGCCTATCAACGTCAATCAAAGTGCTGCCTCGCCGTCTGTCATCGCCTTCAAATCGGGTCAGAGAGGGCAATCAAAGACTGAAGCCGTCATTGCACGCATCTATTTTCGTTCTTAGCCAGTGGTCAGCGCAATTTTGCGGTGAACACTTTGCACTGAACACTCTCGTCGCAATCCGTGATCGCCCGAGCTTGACGACGTGCCTTCGCAAACCGGTTCGCCGGTCTGGCCACCATCGTGCTGAGCCTTCCATCGTCGAGAGTCTTCACTTGAGTGTGTTCGGATTTTTCATGCGAAAAATTTTTTGTTAAACTATTTACCTGTTGATCAGCACACATCTTTTGAAAGTTAACTAAAACTATGCTTTCCGCTTGGAACTTTGTGAAGAACTACAAAAAGCCAATTCTAGTGACCGCTTCCGTCATTAGTGGCTTCATCGGATTACGTTCGTACATCAGCACCTTTGAGCAGCAATGGCAAAATTCCGCATCAAGAACGTTCGTTTCTGAGGTACACAAGAAGGGATCGTATTTTGATAATGCAGTCGAAATTGGCAATGATATGGCCAATGCACAGTATGTGCAGGTCATTAAGACAATCCAAGAGCTTTTCCATATTGATGATTTGCTCACTGCACTTAAAGAAGCAAAGCAAAATGGACTGGTAAGCTGGCATGACTCTGTAACATATTTCAAATGTAAAATAACTGTACTTTCTTTCAGACTTCCAAAGAGCGCCTGATGCACTTTGAAAACATCAAACTGGAAATATTTTCCTATGCTGTTTCGGAAGTATACGCCATCACCTTCTTCGTCACTTACATGCGGGTACAACTATCTATCACCTCCGGGAAGATGTATTTTGATAATCAACAGGGTAACTCCACTAAGTTGGAAAGCAATGATTCTAGTTTGTTGGCAGACTCCAACTCTTCCTACTCAATGTTTCTTCAACTTCTTGAGAACTACCATCAATTTGGTGTTGAGCACATCGTGACGCATGTTCGAAAAGTCGTGCGTGAATGTTTTGAAAACATGAGCGTCACTGAAAAGGTGACAATACGAAACGTACTCGACGTTCTTGAGAAGGTAAAAACCACCATGGCCGCCTCGTACAGTTCACTTATTGAAGAAAATGCCGCCATTGTTTTCAGCTCCAACAAGGAGCACCTCACCTCAGAAGAGCTCAACTCACAAAGCAAAGTTTTCAATGAGATGAAACGCTGCTCAAAGATGATTGACGAAATGCTCGACATTGTGAAAATTGCTGATTTCGCAAAAGTTATCGACCATTGTACGAGCATTGGCTTTAGTAACCTCTACGATTTTATTAGCGAGTGCTTCATGAAATTCGGCAATGAGACCATCAATGGCGGCCACCCGAACGAGCAGTCCTTTCTACAGGAACGACAGTTTATTAACCCAAACCAAATTGTCATTCCTCTGGTGAAGCTGCTTCCGGAAATATGGCGTCAGCTCAATCAGTCAGCCCAGGGCTCTTGTGTTAATGGCCACACAGTGTCTTTCGAGTTCAATGATGCTAAAAAGAATCGCAACTCGCTGCTGGTGCAGTTTCNGCGTCAGCTCAATCAGTCTGCCCAGGGCTCTGGTGTTAATGGCCACACGGTGTCTTTCGAGTTCAATGATGCTAAAAAGAATCGCAACTCGCTGCTGGTGCAGTTTCTTCTTCGTTCCGACAGTTTGACCTGTTTCAGCGCTAATATTTACGAGGCATTCTGCAATGAAAATGATGTTGCGAAAATTCTGTAACACTGCCGTAAAGAGTTTCTTTTTCTGTTTTTTAAATTGTTGCCTAAATGAATGCAATTCTTA